AAAACTGATAGAGACAAACCCCAAGAGACTTGCAGCTGGAACTGCAGCAAAAGGCGGCGCTACAAAGTATTAACGCAAGGGGGACGAATAATACTGCACGCCCCACTTTTCAGTTTTTTATTTGTTAAAAAAGTTTGACACATCCAATAAATTTCATTCCACTTCACAATTGTTTCCCACTTGTTGTTGATTCTTCTCAAAAAATTACAATTTTATACCGACTTCCCACACCATGTGCCGTTGTGTCCCTGGGCAAGACACTTAACCCCGAGTTGCTCCCGGTGGGACTGGATGGCGCCTTGCATGGCAGCCTACCGCCACCGGTGTATGAATGTGCGTGTGAATGGGTGGATGGCTGGTACTGTAAAGCGCCTTGGGGCCCCTCATAGGGGGCTGGAAGGCGCTATAGAAGTAAGCTCCATTTACCATTTACCATTTACCATCTTTATGTTTGAAGCCTGAAATGTGGCAAAAGGTTGAAAAGTTCAAGGGGACGAATACTTTCGCAAGGCACTGTATATGTCGGCTTCAAGTCTAGTTGAGCACTGTAATGTTTTTTTTAAAACCTCATGATAACAATCTTACATCAAATTAAAAAAGAGATGCATTTAGTCACACCACGCACACATTAGCAGATACATTTAGCATTTTCTCTCATTTTCTTAAGAATCTTATCATTAAACTCGCCTTTATTGTGTTTTGTTGCTTTTTTCCTGATGAAACAATAAATATTCTTGACATTTCAGATTAACTTGACCAGGTCACAGAGTTTGTGTAAAACATGCAGGTGGTGGAAAAGGTCATTTGAATTTTTTTTTCATTCTTTAAATAAAAGCTTGTTGAACTGCCACTGTGAGAAAGAGCACTTTGGATTCAGGTGCACACAAACAAACAAACAAACAAAAAGCAGTCCTGAGGCAGACAGGCACAGGTGAAGTAAACATTCAAATTGTGATAAACAAAGGTGCTGCACTGACAGGATAAACCAAGAGTTTGTATTAGTATAAAGAAGGAAACACGAGGCACGTTATAGAGAAGCTGATGATCTGGCAGAGTTGCAGAAACCTGTTGAAGTGAATGACAAACACGCTGCAGGTGAGCTGATTTTAAAAACAGGAAGTAAACAAACAAACCCAAGAGGAGCTAACCAAACAAAACAGAAAATAAAGTTCACACAGAAAGGCATAGAATCAGATCAAAACAGAAACCAAAACACAGACATCATAAACCAGTGGTTCTCAAACTGGGGTCCCCGGACCCCCCAGGTCCACGAACCAGTGCTTGGGGGTCCACCAAAAAAAAGAGAATTATTTTTATTTATTTATTTTTTACAAGCACATAGATTAACAACCTGTTAAACTACACCAAAATGTAGGAAGTCACATCGACTTTATTAAAAATTTTCTGGGGGGAGAACCCCCAACCTGCCCACATATTCCATCATTGATGGGTTTACAAATGAAGTCCGGTTTTTCTACTGCTCTTATGATTCTGTTCAGTTTCATGTAAAGAGTTTTCTGTAATCATTTGAAGAAGTAACAAAACATTTATTATGTTCATTTAGGTAAAGTTTTAAACTGGTTTTTTGAGTCTGTTAATTTTCTCAAAACTAATTTTTGGAAGTTGAACTTAAACATTTTCTTAATCGTGTGTGTTTTGATTGAAACACACTCCATGTTTACAAGTGTAAAAATTGTATTAACACTATTAAAGAACAGGTCTTAAGTATTTGTTACACAATTATTTACTTTGCATCAAAGAGACAAACTGAAGTAAAACATGAGGGTTATGAGGGGGTCCCTGAAACTTTTTCTCCCGTCCCTGAACCCAAAAAGTTTGAGAACCCCTGCCATAAGCGATGACGTTAACGTGCGTACGGCTGCGAGGATAGATAACATTTTATCTCAAGTTTTCCACTTCTCAGCGTTATAAACCTCTCCCTTTAAAGGTGCCGGGCGATATTCGTTCCTTCAAGGAGTTCTAGGTTTTAATTGTTTGACCTCTGACCTCTAAGTTGACCTGCGTTCTCCTGTTTCAGGTGGTTTTAATGCTGCTGGAGATAGAGGGAAGAAGGGGAGGAAGACAGCAGCAGATGGTTCAGCCAACGGACTCCCCGCTGCTAAAAAACCTCGAACCTGCAGCATCTGCCGCACCCCGGGACACACCCGAGCCACCTGTCCTCAGCGGTGACCTCTGTCTGCGGCTGAACTGAGCTCAGTCTGGTTTTCAAACGCACGCCGTCAGATCCAGAGAAGCAACTTTTCTTTCTCTTTTCATTCAGCTCCGGTCGCTCAGATCAGCGTTTCAGACCGACCGGCTCGTTTCTGGCCCCCGAAGGGAAAACAAAAAGCACATTTCAGGAGGTTTTCACCTGCTCTTTAACCTGTTGTAATAATTTACAACAACGGAAAAGAATAACTGCACTATTTAATCTCAGTGGCTCTAATGTCAAAGTGTTAAGGTGTTTTTTAACAGCTTAAACAAAAAGATGTTTTCTGTGTTTGCTGCTGGAGGAAGAAAAAGAAACACGCCACACACTGAGGTGTTGAACCTCTCAAACACAGAGGTGTTTGTAACCACACCAGCCTCAAAGTGTGTAACATTTAATGGGAAATTTTCTCAAATAAATTGTATTATTATTATTAGGAGAGGTCAGGCCTAATTGAAGGTGTAATATATGAGAATGATTGTGTGAATGTTAAAGGTAAATATGTTTTAATCTTTATAAAAACTTTTTTTTAATACAGTTTAAATAGTATTTAGTTTTGTATTTTTTTATATGTCTGAAGAATCGTCAGCTTTTATTTGTTGAAACAGCAAATAAACAATTTCCCTTCCTGGCTGTTTATGGTTTTGGGATTCATTGTGCAACTTTAGGTTTCTCTGAGTCCGCGGTGCTTTTCTCTTTATCCGTTTAGTTTCGGTTTTGGTTTCATGTTTTGTATTTTCAAGCAGCTTTTTTGGGAAAAACCCAAGCGTCTCAAATATTGTTTACTGAGTCCCACCTGTGCAGAAGATTACTGAACACTGTCATTATTACTGTATTCACCACTGCAGGAAAAATTTACATTTACACAGTCGTAAAACCGCTAATATTTTTTTTTAATGAACCTTTACTGTAAAAGATCAGAGGTTCCCAGTAACAACTTGCACTCAGTTTCATTGAAACCAGATGCTTGGCGCTAAAGGAGTGAGGCATTTCGAAGTGTTCGCAGTGAAACTTGTAAAGGGTATGATGTAAATAGTTTTTGTTATTCTGACTTGACATTTGTAATATTTTTTCGAAATAACATTGAAAAGCCTCGTGAACCACTGAGAATATTTGAAAGTGACAAAATGCACTCGCCATTATTAACTCATGCTGTTCTGCCATTTTGAACTGTGTTCTGTGTAAACCATTTGAAGGATAAATATCTTACCTGTTGTAGATAGCGCTTTAAGCATCGTTGAGAGGTTACATCCAACAAGACTGACGAAGCAAAGACTAGTCCAAGACCAAACCAAGTGAAAAAGTCCCATTCTCCAGAACTACATAGTGGCTCATGGGAATGCTATTTCATCTGTCTTTATTATTATTAACGTTTATTTAACCTTTTAAATCACATTGAGATCAGAGTTCTTTTGTAAGGGACATTCATGTTTTTTGGACAGTAGGAGCAAACTGGAGTACACCCACACAAACTCAAAGGGAACATGCAAACGTCACATAGAAAGGCCATGTGTCCAAACCGTGAACTGAACCCAGGACCTTCTTGCTGTGAGGTAACAATGCTAACCACTGATCCATCGTGCTGCCCACCACCGGTTTTACATGACGCAACTATCCACATCAGGCACTTCCATAAACGGTTTTGTTAACAAGCCACAAAGAGCAGTTTGTCACTAAAGGGATAGTACAGCCAATTATGAAGTGATTTTGTTCTAGAATTGCGCCGCTTGGGGTGGCTGCATGTTGGAGCAGCGCTGTTACGTTCTTTGAGTTAATGCTTTTGAAAACTCTTTAATTCCTCTTTTTTCTGGATGTAAATAACTTTTCAGAGGATCATTTACTCTGGTGTCAGATGCTGTGCAGCTGGAAGGATTTTTACTGAAACCTTTTACTTTTGGGCATTTGTTATGATGCGTAACCATGACAACAAGGTGTTTTTAACAACCAGGAGCAGGTGATTAACATCTCAAAAGCTCACATACCTAAACTACAGCCCCAAATGCATTGAAAAGGTGGTGCCATTGACAAATTCCTGTCAACCTGGCAGCGGTGCTCGAGTACCTGACTGCCGAGTTCCTGGAGCTGGTGGAAAACGGCTCGTGACAACAGGAGGACCAGGATCATCCCTCAACACCTTCAGGTGTCTGTCCATGGTGACGAGGAGCTCCGCAGACAGCTGGAAGGAGTGACCATCGCTCAGGGAGGAACTCTGTCCAGCATTCGGGCAGTCCTGCTGCCCAGGAGAACCGAGAGGCCCACCTGATCTGACAGCAAGCTGGATTCAGGTGGACGGATCAGTATCTGTGGCCAGATTCTTCGGATTCGCTGCAGGAGATGCTTCCCCTCCACATCTATTAGCATCTAACAACTTGAATGAAGCTAAGATGATGAGCTAGGACAACACTTCATTTCCCTTTGGGATTAATAAAGTATTTTTGAATTGAATTAGAATTTTATGTAAATAGTTATCGGCCATGACGTCAGAGTACAGTATGGAGAAAGAGGCAAACGTTTTTACTGAACAAGCATTTGCGAATAACCAGATAAATGATCGTAGACAAGTAACAATTCCATGAAAATTAATTGTGTTTTGAGAAATTTACTGTTTCCAAAGTAGTTTACCTGCTGATGAGGTTTGAAGGTTAAAGTTGTTTTTAATGTGGCAGAACTCCACTCCTTGATCTTTGCTGCACTTTCGGACTGTCAGCTCATTACCGTAGTTCTGTTGATCGTAAAATACTTCGCCGAACTGAGGTTCAGAAAGTTATCTACGACCAAGGACGGAGCCAGGGGGTGGCCAACTGTGGCCTTGGCCACCATACATTAGTTTTTGGCCACCCCGCCTCACCAGCTACCCCAGCTGCTGCTTTGCAAAAACATTTCTGTACTCAGGAATTTAACAGCACAAACAGGTAGTTCTTTACCCAAACATGTGGTGGCAGTAATAAACTTAACTTGAATGTCAACCACCAACAGTCAAGAAGAAGAAAAACTTCCCTGAAGTTTCCAAGTCCGCTTATGATAAGCGACTTTGGGCTTGTTTTTTCCTTAAGTTGCTTATAAATCTTGTGAGTTGTGGTTTTTTGAGCTTGTTTTGAACATAAAGTTGCTTATTTGGGTTTGACTTTCTTTCCGAGTGAAACTAGTTGATTGTCTCCCAGCTCCACACAAAAAAGCAAAAGACTAGTGGTAGTAGGTAGTTTGTCCAATTCCACGCCCCCGTTTCCTGTTTATCGCTCCCGCCCAAGTTGGCGAGGCGACCACAGATATCATATGTGCTGCTTTGGTTTCTGATTCTGAGATATTGATAATTATTTTTTAGGCTCATCCAGATGTCACCATCCCCCCATCTTGCTCTGTTTTGGAGCAAGATGTGTGCAAAATAATATGCAAAATACATTTAGCATATTATGCAAAATATAATTTTTTATCAGAGCTTAAAAAGTATGTTATTCAAAGTGTTTAGCAAAATTTTGCTGTTGTTTATGTGTAATGCCATAATAAATGTATGTTTATACTGTTTAAAAACAGCCTCTGTTTTACATAGTGTGGTGGGTTGCCAGTTGGGCTTGTTTTCATAGAGCTGGTTGCTTGTTTCAATCGCAACATCTGGCAACACTGGTGAGAGAAGCTAGCATGAATAACTGGCTTCCAGCGAGTTTTCATCATGAGTACATCTGTGGTTTAGTGGGAATGTCACTGTCTTCATGTGGTAAACTTGTACAGGGTCATACATGAATATTACTCTACTCAAACCAAAGCTCTATCTTTTTGTTGGTGGCAGTAGTACCACAAACATGTTTTCCATGTAGGATACTGTACAGTAACATTTCTATGATGTTAAAAGGGATCTTTGACTCAAAACAATATAGCCTTTATCATTTCACGCGCTAAATAATTTCAGTTTTCAACAATTTTTAATAAGAGGAAAACTACATCCATATTTGATGTACACTGACACTTAGTTGCCATTATTCACCTTGCAGAGTGAACGCAGTAAAAAAATGGTTTTGTTTATGTTTCCATCGAACCACCGAAAGTCGCCGAGTGTCCTGCTCTTCCTGTGCCCGTAGAGAATTTTTTTCCTTTTTGAACTTGTTATTGTTTATGGATTCATGTCAGATGTTTAGCCACTTATAGCTGATATGTGTTTATATTTTTGTCAAATGGAGAATAAGCTTTTGTTGTATTTGCATGTCCATGTTAGCTGCAAGTTGAAGCAAAGAAAATAAATGTGCAGGTTAAAGATGTACGATAACCCTTTCAGTTCTTGCAACTGTTCTTCCTGGTCAACACAACAACGAATGTTTAATTTTTATTTCAGATTATTTTTAACCTCAAGCCAGCTCACCTCTGGTGCACCTTTGTGCCGTGAAGCGAGGTAGTAGCAGAGCCTAAACAGATGACATGTGAAAAAGTAAGCTGTTGGCACGACTCGTAGTGAAGTGATGGCATGTTCTCTCTGCATGTATGAGTTTTCTCCAGGTAATCTGGGTTCCTCCCACAGACCAAAAACATGTATGTTAGACTGATTGGTAACTCTAAATTGTCCCTAGGTGAGAGAATGAATGGTTGTTCATCTTGTTTGTCTCTATGTGTCCCTGTGATGGACTGGAGACCTGTCCAGGGTGTACCCCACCCTCTCACTCAGTAATTGCTGGACATGGGCACCAATGACCCCTGTGAGCCATAAAGGAAGAAGCAGGTAAAGGTAATGGACGGATGGAATGTTGGTGCACATCAGCTTTGTATTTAGTTTTAAAAAGTTAAGCACAAAAAGGATCACTGAAGTGAGTGAATTTGGCGTGTTTTGAAAACAAGCGAGGCAGACATTTACTAAATCTTGCTCCGTGTCAACCCAGTTGAGTTCTGCTCCACACCTCTTTTTGTTCTACGGCGCTTGCTTCCTTTCTGAGCGCTCACCTCTGTGCGGGATGTGGTTGGCTTCATCTGTGATTTATGAATGGCCAGAGGCAGCATGAAGACAAACTGGCCTGTGCGACTATTTTGAAGAAATGTTTTATGGAAGAGC